GAGCGCTTAGGGCCCTGGCTGATCCCCAGCCCTCTTTGCCCCTGAAGGCCAGCGATTTCCCAGCAGCCCTCACTTGGCTCTCCGGGCAGAGCACGTGGCCCGCCGTTTCTGCCATTCAACCCTTCCCCTAGTGCACTCCTCCAGGGGGCTCTCGGCACCCCACTGTGATGGGCGGGTGCCGTTCTCACCCTTCCTTCCTTCCTTCCTTCCTTCCCTTAGTCTACTAGAGCTCCCCTTCTGCATGGTCAAGGGCTTCCGTCCGAGCTCGGGGTGGCTTGGGGAAGCGTGGCTTTTCGAGTCAGGCACGGTTAGGTTCAAACCGCAGCTCTACCACTTACTGTGGGATTTTACAGGCAAGTTTTCTTAAGCTCGCCGAGCCTTCTGTTTCCTCATCCGCAAAGCGGGGAGGATGACCTCCACTTCCCAGGGCTGCGAAACCGCGGCCCGACAGAGTAGAGCTGCCGCGCTCGGCACCTGTCGATCGGCAGGTGGCAGTCCCTCCAGCCTGGTCAGCGGGGGCTGACAGATGCCACGGGGCGGGGGTGCCACGTGCCCACTTGCCCCAAACAAGGAGGACACGCAGGAGGCCACGGTCTGACCTCTGAACCCGGAGTCGCTCCTGCGGGCCTGTCGGCATCCCGAGGGGGGCGGTTCTACGGGGTCTGTTTCGTCCGACTCCAGGGACTTAGTACCCACCCCTCCGTCCACTGAATGCCCGCAGCGGCCTAGTGCTGTGATGCAGAAGCACCCCCTGGTCTCCCTGCCCTCTGGGAAACAGCACATCTGTGCCACTAAGAGCCACCCCCGGGACAGGGGCACCTCGCAGTAACTGGGAGGGCGGGAGAGTGTCGTGAGCAGCTGTTTCTGGGTCCGAGGACAAGGAGAGCCAATCATCTAGGACAACAGCAGGGCCCAGAAGCCAAGGTGGATCTGGGGCAAGGGGACTCGGTGCGGGCGGGACAGCAGTGTGGCTTAGGAGCCACAGAGGCCTCGGGAGGCACAAAGAGCCGGAGACAGAGAGGAACGTAAGCATCCTTCACCTGAACTCAGGGTACCATCTGGAAAGGTAAGAACCGGTCAAGGAAAAGCCGCCACGCCCCAAGTCCACGCTCTCAGGCTCTAGACCTTCTTCCCGCACGGCCAGACACACGGCAGAGTCGGCGCGGCTTTTAGCTTCCCTCTAAACTCCGTCCTCTCTGAGCAAAGACCCTACCTCTCACTGCAGCCCCACAGACGTTTGCCCGGGGCACCCCAGGGAGCTCTGCCCCCGTCCACCTCCCTCCCCACCCACACGACACGCATGCCAGAGGTCCCACCGTCGCCAGCCGTGGCTCCAGACGAGGCCACATGGTCCCAGGACCCCTGACGGCACCTGTCGGCAGGAGGCTGTCGGGCCCTATGCTCCATCTGCAAACCACCCGCCGGGCTGTATGCCGGCTGCTACCCCTGCCACCTCCGTGAGGACAGCGTTTTGGCAAATGCATTTGGCCGAGCCGATCCTGAAGCATAACCCTGGGTGGCAGGCATGTCTGGAGCCCTAAGGACCCAGGCTGCGAAACAAGCCCCACAGCCGCCTACCTTTTTAGGCCTCCGTCGCCACACTCTCCACTCTTCTAGAGAAAGGAAGCAATGCTCTCCACGTGCCCGCCAACCCCCCTCACCTTGGCAGCCACCTCACCTGTGCCCCCGCCCAGCTGCGTGTTACTCCGCTCCAAGGCCAGCCCGTTGGCCCGGGGGCTGGTGCCTGGGGCTGTGGCAGGCGTGGCTCGGGGCAGGCGCTTCCCTGGCACTTTCACGGTCGTCCGCAGCAGGTCGATCTCCTTGCCGTGGATGTTCTGCATGTAATCCTAAGGGCCAAGTGGACAAAACAGACAAAGATTCATTAGGACAGGTCACTCCTCGGCAGCACTTGGTCTCTGACGCTGACCCACCAACTCACAGGTCTTGCCCGCGCCGGAGGACACAGAAAGAGAGAGGAGAAAGCCCAAGTTCTAGAAAGCAGGACCGGGAAGCCCACCGATCTCCACCTCTGGACGACACCCGAGCGCAGCTCTGGGGGGACTCAGCCAGGAGCGGGGCAGCATCCAGGGGGAAAGAAGGGCGTGGAGCAAGAGCTGAGGCGCAGGGCTCCTCGAGGAAAGACAGCTCAGGAGGCAACGCAAATGAGGCCAAACACCGGACCAAGGCGGAATTTAGGAAGAGAAGGCCCACGTGGCCAGGAGAGGAACTGACAAACTCCCCAGGACACAGACGACTGGGTTGCTCCAGGCTCTGGGTGGCCAGCCACCGAGTACTTGGGCCCTGTTTCCAGAAGCTTCCGCCACCACTGGGGCCCAGGGAACTTTCAGAGCCTCGAACAGTCCCTCACTCCTTACAACAGTGCCTGACAATAAATATTTGTGAGCAGTCAAAAAGAAGCCTTTGATTCTTTTTGCCATTGTTAGGAATACAGAGACAGGTCCACGGTTTCACAGGTACCAGCGAAATAACAGTAACTTGTCACCACCTCACCTGCCCACTCCTACGCCCCGCTATTCCCTGCACTCTGGCCACAGCTTATATTTCCTGTATTTTCACAATGACATAGGAGGGGGTGTTACGAGGCCACTTTACAGTTGAAGAAACGGCTCACGAAGGTTAATCTGCCCAAGGTCACATGATCAGAGGGCGGCAGAACCAGACTCGGGCCCCGCCTTTGCAGATTCCCAAGGCAGTGCACTGAAGGCAGACCTCCGCGGCCCAGGAACTACCCCCGACTTCAAGTCAGCACTCAAGGGGCCCCAGAAGGGGAGGAGTGGGGAGCAACCAGAGAGTGAGAGCCGCTCCTTGCCCCCACCCATTCCCACCGTATGGCCACTGGCCTAAGAGTCCCGCGGTGGAGCCACAACCTGGGGGCCACAGGGCAGAGCCCGGCCCCTGGCCTCTAGCTTCCTGCTTTCGACCCGAGCCTGGCCGGACCCGAGCTCTGCCCACTGCTTCTGGTCTCTCCTTCCAGACGGCCGACTCCCACTTCCTCGCTGCTGTCACCGGCAAGGCAAGGTCCGCAGCAGGTCCCAGCCTCACGTCCCCGGTGAAATGCGGCCAAAAAAACTCCTTCCAGGGAACAGGATCAGGCCGGTGGTGCCAGCTGGAGCTTTGATGGGATCCCACCGATCAGACTCCAACCTGCTCTTCTCCCCTCAGGAGCACCCTGGGGGGGCTTGGTACACAGAGTTTCCCTGAGACACGGTCCCCCTGTGGTTACAGCCCCCAGCCCCTCGTACCTTCACCCGCTCTGGGACTTCAGACTTTCTGTCACCTGGCGGCTCTCCCGCCTTCTCACCCGTTAGCTTCGGGGAAAAGGGACCGTGTCCTCAGTTTTTTTTTTTTTTTTTTCCTAATGTTTATTTTTTGAGAGACAGAGACAGCATGAGCTGGGGAGGGGACAGAGAGAGAGCGGAAGCCACAGATTCCGAAGCAGGTTCCGAGCTGTCAGCACAGAGCCCGACATGGGGCTCGAACTCATGAACCACGAGATCGTGACCTGAGCTGAAGTCGGAGGCTCAAGCGACTAAGCCCCCCCAGGTGCCCCCGGTGTCCTCTGTTTTAAAGCGCAGGAGGGGAATGCTACCTTTTGGGAGACAAGGAAAAGGCAGGGGCAGGGGCTGACCAGGGGCTCGCAGCAGCCCCTGCTCTGGGAACGACCAAGACGTCGAGCGGAAAGCAGTCACGTGGCCCCAAGGAACCAAGAGAACATGCCAGTTTCCAGTTAGGAGGAGGGGCAAGAGAAAGGAAAGGGCGCCTGATACGAGGTTCCCGCCTCAGGCTGCACCTCACTTCCGAGGTGGGTCATCAGGGCAGGGGACCCCTGAGGGCCGTGGGAAGGAGGGGCGCCGCTGAGGCGAGCACCGTGGCCTCACCAGCGGCCGTGAGGCCCGGCTGGGCCTGTAGAGGTCTTCTGTTCTCCATGAAGCTCGGACACCTTCACAGGCACACGGCCCTTCAGAAGGACAGAGGGGCCTCGTCAGGCACAGAGGAAGAGCGCCCCCCTGCTCCCCCCCGTGTGACCAGGGAGGAGCTCGCTTCCACGCAGCTCTGGGCTGCGTGCACCCCCTCCGGCCACCACCTGGTCCCCCATTAGGAACAGCGCCCGGTGCCCGGCCCCCCCAGCTCCCAGGGGGGGTCGGCTTCAGGTCTCAGAACCACAGGACGACACTAGAGAAGTCAGGAGGAGCAGTCTTCACTCACGGGGGGACCCCTGTGACAACCTCTCACCCCCAGGGTTCTCTGTCACCAGCGCTGAGCCATGCCACGGTGGCTGGGAGAGACAAACCCAGGAGCCCCTTTCCTGTCCCCCGCCCCGTGTCCCTTCTATGCTTCCACTTTTCAGCAAACTCAGCACGCCCATCCGGCCACGCTGGCCCTCAGCTCTTGCTTTCAGCCCAGAGCCCAGCATCGGCCCGTCTCAAGCCCTCCTTGGTGGGAGCCCAGCGTCCACTCGGCTTCTGCACGCACCCGTCGCGGGTCCCCGCACAGAGTCTCACGTCTTGGATTGGCTGCTCCAGACAACTGTCAACAGCTGGCTGGGCCGAAGACGCAGCTGCGGTCCCCCTCTTGGGGGAGGGGCTCGGGCTGCTCTAGTTCACAAGGAGGTCACAGCAGCTGCAACAGTTTTCAGGCCCCACGACGGCCCTGGGACGCCCAGGCTGGGACGTGGGACAATCGGACCCCATGCCGAGGACAGAAGCTGCACGGAGGGCCTCTGTTCTGGGCCCAGGGGCCAGAGACCAGCCTGAGGGGCCCAGCCCCCCCGCGGGCTCCCTGGCCACACCAGGGGGCGTGGCTAGTGGCAGGGCAGGCCTGCAGCCTCGCGCTCCGCTCCGCTCTGGGACGGGGACCGCGCTAGGAGACCAGGAGAGGGGGGCCCAGCCCAAGGACAGTGTGGTAAGGAGCGCAAGGAGCAGCAGCAGGGACAGGGACACGAGGGGCAGAGCAACAGCGTTTCCCTCCGTCAGCAGAACGGGGAGCTCGGCGGTGGCGGTGGCAGCGGCTGCTCAGGAGAGCGGTCACCACGGCTGCCTTTATTACCCACCATCAAACAGCAATTTCTTCCCCAGCCTCCTCGCTAATTACCCAGCCAGCGTTCTCATCTCGTTTTATTACTGGAATTAACAACGAGTTCAGAGCGTGGAAAGCTATTAAGATGTGTGATTAAGCCACATTCAATTAGTTTCTACAAACAATTTAATTGATGTTGCAGATAGAATTAACAGAAGGTGATTGTGTGAATGGCTCCGCTGGCTGCAAAATGGGGGAGGCTGTGGCGGGCTCTCTTGGGCCAGGCAAGGATCGGGCGTAAGGCTTGAGGCCTGCCCACCAGCCCTTCCTCTGTACGCCCTTCCAGTCCCTCCAGCCCCACTGGCCTCCGTCGGCAGGTGAGTCACCGGGACGGCCGCCCTCTCTCTGGTCCCTGAGACGGCAGCACCCTAGGCCCAGAGTAGTGCGCGTCCCTCTGGGGTTACCGGAAGGCCCCTCGGCCGCACGGCGCCCGAACAGGAGGGAACCTCCCGGGAGACAGGCCGCCCTCGGCACGGGGATGACGGTCAACTAAGACGCTTGCTCAGGTTGGGAAACACGGCAAAGGGGAGACGGAGGCAGGTAAGCCAGCAACACTTGAGAGCTGCAACCGGGGAAGGAAAGCAAGAAGCGAGGGGGGTGGACGGAGCGGGCGGCCTTAGCCAGGAGGAGACGCAAACTCTGGTCACGCAGCGGCACGTGATGACCCCTGATTTGGTCTTCACTCCGGCTTCCGTTTTGAACCCCAATTCGTGTCTGCTGAGTGAGAAAAGCGGCGCCCACAGGGCAGGGATGCTGCCATCTACACAGCCCAGTCCCCCCCGGATGCTGGCGTGGGAGGAAGACATAGGTTTTGATCCCAGAGTCAATGGATGAAGAGCGGACACAGAGCCTGTGCTCTCAGAGGAGCCTTTCGCTCAACCTCTCCACGAGGTCCCATGGCCCAGAGAACAAGAGGCCAGCAGGGCCGCCTGCCTCTTAGACTCACCTTGCAGGAAAGCAAGGAAGGGGCTGGAAGCCCCTGCCACCCACATCCCGTCCCAGGCCCCTGAACACACCAAGAAGCACAGAGCTCAACAGGCGAGGCGCTGGAAGGGACTCGGAGAAGCTCAGGCACCCATCCTGGCCCAGGCAGGCCCATGGGTTCCCTCCACCCTCCCTGACAACAGTCTAGGCAACACTTGCCCGGATGTTAACTCTCCGAGAACTTTCTCAGCCAGCCCCGAAGAGAGTTGCTCTCGGCACATGCAGAAAATTCCGGGTGATGCTCCGAGTCAAAGTCATGGGTCCTTGTATTAGCTCAGCCAGTGGCTGGGTGACCGATGACGATCCAGCCGGCCCCGCCAAGCTTCTGCTCTCTAATTGATTGAGTGTAAAACCAGAGTTCTCGCGAGCCTTTACCTTCCCTTCCTAAACCCAAACCAAACACAGCACCCCACACATTCCTTCGTGTCCCGGGACCCCTCTACGGTCCCCCTCCCCCTCTCCGGGCTTCCTCCATTATCTGAGACATGGGGACAGGCTAAGGGGACAGACACAGCTAGGGCGGCACAAAGCAGAAAGAACAGGTAAGGGTGCACAGAGGAGAACGCCAAGGCCAGCCCCACACGGAGCAGGGAGGGGCGTAGGGGGGACTAGGATGCTTCGGAGAGGCTAGTTCCCAGCTCCACTGGCAAGACGCCGCCTGAGGAGAGCGAGTCCATCTTGCCTGGGGGCCGGGGTGGCCGGGGTGAAAATACAAGCAGCTGGGAGTTAGGAGGAGCTAGGCCGGCCTAGGATCGGGCCTGGCTGGGAAACGCCACGGCTCTGCTGTCTCTGTGCTACAGAGCCCTGTACCTGCAGGAGGCCCCGTGACTTTCTAGGACACCTGTGTCGCGCTGCCTCGCACGGGCTCAGCGGCAGGACCGGGTCTGCGTACAAGGCGGCCGCTGGAGTAGGGGAGGGGATGGTGCTGAGGGGCCTCTACCAAGTCCCCAAAGCCACCTGGTGTGGCCCGTCCTCAACCCCCCAGTCTCCTGAGGCCGGCTCCCACCCTGTGGAGGATGAGACGCTAGGAGGAAACGCTAAGTAGCGGCGTTCCCCGAGTTAAGGGGAACAGTTAGTGCCCGAGGAATCGGATACGGAGAAACCCAGGAGGGCGAGGCCGGGCTCCGGCCTGACGGGAAGCAGACCGCCCGCCCGCTTTTCCCGAGCCAGGCCTTCGTGCGTTATCGTGCCTGGGCGGTGCCCTCGGGACCGGGTTACGGCCAGAACCGCGCATCCCCGGCGCCTCCTGGGTCGGGCCTCCCCGACACCTTGTGCAGGTTCAGAGGCAGCCAAGGGACCCTCGGAGGCAGGCCCTGGGCTCCTGGGCCGGGGGTGGGGCCGGCCCGCGTGCTGTGCTTGAGGGGGTTCACGGGAGAACTCATTAGCCCCGCAGTGGGGCGGTGACAGAGATGGATTCTGGTGACAGCTGTGTGCTGGAGCCACGCGGCGAGGGGAGGCGGGAGGCGGGAAGGGTGGGAGAGCTGCCACGGGGGCCACTCTACAGTCACCGCCCCGCCCCCTCACCGGGGCACAGGCCACCCCCACCCCCGACCCCTCCACCCGCCATCATCGCCACCCCCACGCTCCCTTTCCCCGACAGGACGCGTGCCATTCTCCACAGGCCCGGCCCAACTGCCCCCCCCCTGGCTCTCCATCACCCCAGGCCCGGGAACCCAGGGCCTCCCGTGCTCGCGTGGCTCCCCAAGAGACAACTGGGCGGTGACACCGGCATCCCCAGCTTGAGCAATTCCAGGTAAGCGGGGCCCAATCCCGCTGTCTCCACAAGCGGGGGCCAGGACGCGGGGCCCGACCGCACACCGCAGCCTCGCCTAGAGGCAGCCATCCCCGGGGGGCGAGTCTCCTCCCAAGGGCGCAGCCACAAGTCAGACTTTAGAATGAAGGGCTCGGCCCCGGCCTCGGTCGCACAGGCGGTGTGGTTCCCAAGCCGCCAAAGTGAGGCTCTTTCCGAAGGGCAGGTGCCTTTGAACCCACTGAGGCCTGCTTCCCTTCAGTTGTGGAGTCAGCGCCCCCCTCCACTCGGGTCACTCTTCCTCGGGTCCCCAACCCCTCCCCCAGACTCACGTGCAGACTGGGGTGGTAGGTGAGCAGTCCGTTGTCACAGAGCGTCACGTACTTCTTCTTCCACTCCTTGTTCAGGGACTTGCCACTCCGTTTCAGCAGGATGCCCTGAGGACAGAGGCGGGATCAGAGACAGGTGCCAGCCCCGCACGTCGGGGGGGGGGGGGGGTCCGGAGAAGGTCACGGGGGCACCAGGGAACACCGTCCTCCGTCGCCCGTCCTCCTGGGCCACTGTGCTCCTCTGAGCAGAGAGGCTGTCAAGGACCAGAGCCGACCCGGGGGAAGCCAGTTAGACGGGACCTTCCACGGAACTCGGGCTTCCCTGACGGTTCACCAGCAAGCAGCCTGGGGGCCGCCCCCCTCCCCGGGGTCGTGGGGCCGCGCCAGCAGCAGGAGGCAGGGTTTCAGGTGGCCTCCTGGCAGTGACGCTCCTGCCTGTGTGTCTCCAGGGGTGGGTGAATAGGGCAGAAATCCCCTAACCGCCCCCAGAATGTTCCAGACTCCCCAAGGCGCAGCCCCGGCCACAGAGCTCAGCGACCAAATTTCCCCTGCAAGCCTGTCCGTGTGTTTTGCTCACTGACACACCCTCAGCACCGTGACAGTGCTTGGGACACGGCACACACTCGGCGAACGTCCGGTGGGTGGGTTGAAAGAAGCCAGCTGAGACCGTGGCCGCCAGAGATGCTGAAAGGGGAGGACGCCTGCAGAGAACTCCAAGAACGGCCTCCACCTTCCTCTAAGGACAACCCCCGAAGAGGCCCTCACCCGCCTCTGGCTCTCTCCTCGACACGACAGTCATCACAGGAGAAGGAATGGCTGAGGAGAGGAGCGGGGGTCAGGGGAAGGACAGTACCACCAACAGGTCCCGGGGGCAGGTTCTGAGGCCCAGCATCAACCGAAGGCAGGAGGGCCGACAAGAGGCAGTGCCGCCTGGAGATTCCCAGACAAAACTCCAAGGGGACAGCCACCAGGAGGGGGCTCAAGCGGGGAGTCAGGATCAGCAGCGGCCTAGGAGAGCAGGGGAAGCACCCGGAGCCCAACCGCAGTGGGCACCAGAGAGGAGGAGCTCAAAGATGTGGCCCTGATCACAAGGCCTTCTCCATTAGGAATGGAGGGCCCTGCTCTCAGACAAGCAGGAAAACCAGGATTAAGAGATTCGAGCGTGGGGGCGCCTGGGGGCTCAGTCGGTTAAGCGTCCAACTTTGGCTCAGGTCACGATCTCACGGTTCGTGGGTTCGAGCCCCACATCGGGCTCTGTGCTGACAGCACAAAGCCTGCCTGGCATATTCTCTCTCTCTGTCCCTCCCCTGCTTGCACGTGCTCTCTCATAATAAATAAACATTAAAAAAAAAAAGAGAGAGAGAGATTCAAGTATGAGGAAATAGTATCACCTATGGTTCTGGGGCCCAAAGGTGGAGGTTAACCCCAATTCTCTCACACCTCCTCTCTAAGCTCTTCCGGAGACCAGGCTCAGTCCTAAAGGGAGGAGGTTAGCCAACAGGCGATTGGAATTTCCTGCCCGATCTACCTCCTCACGAGGGACCAAGATGGGGCTGAGAAAGTCTCCCACCTTTCGATACATCCCCACTAGCACTCCTTCCTTTCTCTCTTTCTTCCCGCCGCCCCCAAAAGGCAGATGCCGTTGCGGGGAGATTCAGTTGAGCGTCTGGGGCCATCTGAGGACACACTCTACCACCCGGTCCCCCTCAGCACCAGACATCCTATCCTCACATGGAGCATCTGAAGACGAGTGGTATTAATGGGACCTTCGCTGGAGTGGGTGGCTGGAACATTCTGGAAGGCAGTCAGGCCCCTGCCCAGGGGTCCATGAAGGAGCCTCAGTGACCTGCTTCTGGGCGTGGCACCCACCCCCTCACAGCCAGGAACAAGGCAACGGTAAGCTGCTCCCCGTCCCCGGGCTGTGGACAACACCCATGAGAACCAACAGCCAGACTCTGGACAAGGCAGCCCCCAGTCTCACCCGGTGCCCTCAGGAAGCGCTGGGGGGACGGCAGCTCCCCTGCCCCTCCTCTCCTTCTTTCACACCTCCTCAGCCTCCAGTGGGAGAGTCCACGTCAGCCTCTGTTCTCAAGTCCTCCCAGGCCCCGCCCTGGCCTCCCTCGCCTGACCCTTCCTCTCCATCACGGCCGAGCCCTTCCCTCCTGGGCCCGGTCCCAGCTCCGGGCCAGGTCGACGGAAAGGGAAGCCAGACTCCGCTCCCCCTTCTGCCGCCAGCTAGCCCCTAACATCAAACAAGTGACCGCCTGAGCCTCAGTTTCCACAGACAGGTAGAGAGAGCAGACTCACGTATGGAGGTTTCCTCCCTCTTCCCAGCCTGGAATCAGGACTCAGGATGCCAAGGAGGGAGGCCCTTTTCTACCCAGAACTCTCTCCCCTCCTTCACCTGGGCCTCGGTCCGGGGAGGAGCCACGGACCAGCGCTAATGAGCTCAGTGAGCTCACCGGCAGGGGTGTGGGAGGAGTGCCCGGCTTGATGGAGAAAAGCCGGCCAGGGCCTCAACCTGCCACCCACTCGCGCCTCCAGCCCGCCTCTCGCCTGCCAGCCCGGCCCAGACGCAGAGCACGCGGCAAAGGCTGGGCTAGCCGCATAGTGGATAGGCCTGCCTACCCGGCGCCTCCTTCCCTCTCGAATCCTGCCTTCCAAGGAGGGAGACGAGCTACAGGGGTTCCTGCTCCCCTCCCTGGCCGGCCCGGCTGCGCACGGCGGAGCAGGAAGCAATCTGGGGCGGAATGGGAGCGGCGCGGAGGCGCCAGCCCCAGAGGACCCGTTCGCCGCCGCCTCCCTCCCAGCTCCGCCAGCCGGCTTAATTGCGGAGTCCGGATTGATTGGGAATGCAAATGGCAACTGAAATGCAATCTCCACTCCCAGCAGGAGTGGGGGGGCGGGGAGGGGGAAGGAGTGGAATGGGGAGGAAGGGACCCGAGGGTGGGGAAGGGGCCAGAGCGGGCCCGGGCAGGCCGCTGGAGGTTGGGGGAAGTCACCCGAGGATGAGCCCCTGGGGCTGGGAAACTAGAGCAGGGAGCACCCGCCCCCCAACCCCAGCGCAGGCACACCCTAACCGCCCCGAGAGATCCCGGAGAGATCCCGCCGAGAGATCCCGCCGCGGATCAGCGCTCAGGTTCCTTCCTGCAGGGGGTCCCTGAGGCTTAGTGGCCTATATCGGCCGGCCGAGTGGCCTAGTCGACCCCTTAGGCCGGCCAGGGGCTGGGCCTGAACCCCGGGTGCAAGTTCACAGGGCCTTACCCCCACCCCTCAGTTCTCCCCTCCCCTCTCTGTGGGGGATTCAGGGAACAGATACCTTAGCCCGTACCCCCAAACAAGATGGGACCCCAAACAGGACGCAGGCATTTGAGACCACGTTTATCTCAGAGCAAAGGCCCTGGAGAAAGTGTTCTCTTGTATTTATTCAACGTTTGTGTGCGCGAATACACCCTCTCAGAATGCACCCGCCCCCAAAGCAGACAGTGACGGGCCTCCGTGAGACGCATCCACGGTGCCGGGCTCGCACCACCCCCCCCACCTCCCCCAAGGAGGCGGTCGGTCTGCAGAGTCCCAGAGACACGGGATCACATCACCAACAGGTTTGTGGGGTCCGATTCTGCACCCAGACACACACACAGAGACACGTCTCTCTCAGCCACTCCACGTGGCCTCCCCGGAGGTGGCCCCACTAGACTGGTCTCTGCCAGGCCTCAGTGTGACGCTATTTCAGGGGAGGGCAGAGGCATTACGTGACGGGTAGTTCCCTGCCTTCTGGGACCCTGACGCTTCCAGGGGTCTCCATTCTAAATAACCTTCACTGTGGGGTCGGAATCTCACTCTCACATAGGAATTCTGGTCAGACTGCCCACGGGCCCCAGCAGGCCCAGCCTGGAGGACTAACCCGATCCCAGGGCCCGGGCCTGGCCAAGCTCTGGTGGTCTGGCCACACCAGTCTCCTCTGTGGTCAACACCTGACAGACAACGTAGCCCCTGTAGACACGGCGCGTCTCACCACCAGCTCCCAAGATCCGCGCCGGGCCCAGCAGACCAACCAACCAAGCCACTGCCCCCAACCTCATGGGCACCTCAGAGACGGACACCTCCTCACTTCACCCCCATCCAGCTCAGCAGCTCAAGAACCCTGCTCGACACACCGCCATCTTTGCACAAGGACGCCCTCCGTTGTTCAATGTCTTTTTCCAGCACGGGGACCCCCTCTGGGGGCGGGGGGGGGGGGGTGGGTTGTCTAGTGGCCCAGCCCTGCCAGAGACTCAGAAAAAAAAAAGGGGGGCCAGGAGGGGGCAGCCCAACTCAGCTCCTCCTTTACCAGCGAACAGAGGCTCGTGTGAACCCAGGGTAGGACCAGCCCTCCCAGGGTACCCTTTTGTGAATTCCTTTTCTGGGACTGGGAGAGGTGGGCCAGGTCGCCCGGCTCCAGAAGCGCCAGCCCGCGCGGGCCAGCCGGTGAGGACGGCAGGTGGCTCTCTGCTGCCCCCCGGTGGTGGTGAGGAGGACGCGGCCGAGCTCCCGCCCGGTAGCCTCTCTTCCCAGGGGGGTTTGCCCTCAACAGGCGATCCGCTCTCTCGTTGAGGATTCAGGCCCGGCAGGGGCAGTGCTGGCCTTACAGCAGCCAGCCCCCAGAGGCGCTGAAGAGCGCCGCCCTCCAGCGTTTCCTGGGCCTCATCCCTCACCTCCACTGCTCTCTGGCCACAGGGGAAGGGACTGCTGACCTGTTTGATGGGGATGGCCCGACCGCTCCCGATGCTGTCCACCTTGCAGTCGGCGGCTTTCTTCTCCCTGTCCAAGTCGGCACCCTTTCGAGACTGAAAGAGAAAAGAAGAGGCGTGTTAGAGGGGCGCAGGGCCCACGGGGGACAGCTGCCCGCCTGGACTCCCCAGCCCTCCCCTCCTCCCTCCTCCTGGGCAGGCCCTAGCAGTGGGGGCGGGGCCGGGGCGGCGGGACCGGGAAGGAACTGAGACCACGAGTATTCCAACGGGTTTATTCTTACACACGGCACCATACAGAGCAGCACAGGTCACTGAGCCAGGCCCGCCCCTTACAAAAGAGCAAGGACACGAAATACCGAGGGCGCAAGGAGCGCGCAGCCCAGGGGGCTGGGGCGTAAGAGAAGGGAAGGGGCGAGGAGAGGTGGACGGTGGGGCTGAGGGACGGCTGGGAGCACAGGGCACGAGAACCGGGGAGAGCCAAGTCCAGAAGTGAGCGGGCAGGGGCCCGTCTGCGGCACAGACACCACACGGCACGTTGCACCGAGCGCGGTCGGCGAGGCCCGAGGGGCACAGTGGATGGAGAGAGAGAGGAGAGAGGCCAAAAGAGGCCCTGCGCCCCTGCCAGGCTCCTGGGGCAGAGCCCGCCCCAATGCGGATCCTAGGAAACGGGGAGGGGCCAAGAGGGGGAAAGGCAAGCGCGCGCGGCGTGGGCGTGGCGTCCGGAGCGGAGCAGGAACGGCAGGAGTCCATGCAGGAAGGAGCAGAGGAGGGAGGGGCGGGAAAGCTCCCCCCAGGAGCAGCTGGGCCGGGGCGGGCGCTCGGACGCCCCCGCCCCTCGGGGGCCTCGTTGCGCTGGCCCGGGGCGCCGGGCGTGGGGCCGAGCTCCCTTCTTCTCCATGCAGCGAGCCTGGCGCAGCGCGTCCAGCCGGGCCTGGTCCCCCGGCAGCCCCCAGCCGCGGGCTCCAGCGTTCCTAGCCTTCCCTGGGGGTGGGGGTTAGTTACAAAGGTTCCTGTGGGTCTCTGGAGTGGGGAGCACGGCGGCCGCTTCTCATCTGAGAGCAGTCCCAAGGCCCGGCCCGCCTCCGGCCCCGCACAGGGGAGAATGTCCAGAGGTGCTGTGTGTCACCACCTGGTCTTCTAATTTGGAAGGAGTTGGAAAGGCCTTTTTGTTGATGAAAAGTTGGAAACAGTGGCACATATCTGCAAATATCGAAAGAATAAAGATTTTGGCAAGTTATACTCAAGCCCCGCACGAGTTGGTCAGCACTGGTGAGGGCAGAGACCCAGGTGCCTGGGGAGAGGAGGCAGCGGGATGAAGAGGAGGAGGAGGAGGAGGAGGCGGTGGCGGCAGAGGCCGCTGGGCAGTCCATCTCATCGGGGAATGTTCGCCACTGGGCAGCCGGGGCCCCTGTCCCTCCTGTTGTCCCAGGCTGCCAGGAGCCGAGGACACAGGGCACAGGACTGCAAATGCAGCGCGGAGTTGGGGGGGGGGGGGGGGTGTCAACCGAGGGAGCAGAAAGAATCGGGCCAGAGGCTGCTGCCCGCAGCTCCACCATCAGCACCTGCCCGGGGCGTCTCCTGGGCGCCACGGCCTCTGCCCCTTCGGCCCAGGGAGGAGGAAGGTGGATGGGGACCGCCGCCACCGGGTCCCCGGAGCAAAGAGCTGGTTGGGAGGGGGGGGGGTGCAGCCTGCCCCAGCCAGGCTGGTGAGCCAGGAGGCCCCCCAACCACCGGAGGATCCCTGGGAGCCCCGAGGGGCAGCCCCCGCCCCCCCTCCCCCCGCCCAGGATGGGAACCGGGGCAAGAGTGGCAACAGAATGAGTACATGAAGTCATGGGGGAGACTGGGGACATCGATGGCCACATCCAGGGGGGCGGGTCACAAGGACACCAGGCCACAGAGCAGGCGTGGCTCTGCTGGGGAGGACGATGAGGGCGAGGAGGTGGCCCCAACAGCAACGATGAGAGGGGGAGGTCCCGAGATGCACTCCTGGAGACGGACATGTCTCGAGGCCTCCTCGTGGACAATGGCGCAAGTGAGGTCACCATGGAAACAATGGAAAGAAAAACTAAGGTCGCCACAGTGAAGATGGAGAGAATGAAAGGGCCCGAGGGAAGGCTGTGCCATGGGCGCGCGCAGCAAGGATGGCAGGCGGAGGCAGCACAGCGGAGCAGGCAGCGGAGAGCACAGGGCAGGGGGCACGAGGGGCCGCGACGAGGAGGCCGGGAGCTGCGCATGGACGGTGGATAGAAGGGGGGGCAGAGGGAGGAGAGCGTGCCCTGGGGTGCTGCAGGCCTGGCAGCGGAGGAAGTGGGAGGTTCGGGATGGTGCTGAGGGAGCGGGTGTCAGACAGCAGATGCCAAGGGCGCAGACGGCGGTCACTGCAAACACAGGCACCCGAGGGCTCTACGGCAGCGGCAGCAGCGGGCGTGGGCACAAGCAGGCAGCCCAGGGCTCTGTGTGTCTCAATGGGCGTGAACAGAAACAAAGAGCTTCAGGTCTAGGCGGGGTCGGGGCTGGGGAAGTGCCATGCGGCGGCAGCTGTCAGCAGGAAGGGTTGGTTGGCATGGACAAGGAGGGGGCACACGGCAGGCACAGGGCGGACGGACCGGGGCACACCGGGAGCGGCAGTGTGCCGGGCGGGCGGAGGCGAGAATGAATGAACAAGGCCTAGGGGCACTGGCTCTGTCTGGGCGGGGCTCCCGAGAGCCTGGCGGGGCCTGCCCGGCCGGCCGGACGCGGGACCAGGCTGGGGACCAAGCCCTGATGGTCCGAAAGAGGCGCACGGACTGACGCAGCAGTACAGAGTGATCTCCTGAGAATCCACACGGGCAGCTCAGCCACCTGTGTCTGGCCCAAGCCTCCCAGAATGACCCCAGCCAAGTCCTGGCTGGAGGTAAGGGGCTGGGGGCACTGTGTCTCAGATGCCGGGGGCACCTAAGAGCTGAGGGACTGGGCCCCTAGCAGTGGAAGGCAGCGGAAGGTCCCTGGTGTGAGGTCTGTGAGGGCGGGAGCCTGACTGAGGGCTGGAGGTGGGGAGGTGAGGCCTGGGGAAAGCTGTCTAAGCCTTTGGGGGACCCCCAGGCGCGGGCGGGAAGCGTAAGGTCACGGAGAAAACAGAGTGCAGACAAGGAGGCCTGAGCCCCCCATTCTGGCTCCACCAGCTAATCTCCGTGCGGCCTTGGGCCAAAAACTTAGGGGGCTCGGTTCACAGCTGTGGAATCAAGAGCGTCGGGCAGGGGGTGGGGGGAGCGGGGAGTTAGGACAGACACGTCCAAAGATCCTTCAAGCTAAGCTGGCCCAGAAGACCTAAGGGTCAGGGAGAGGGGGTGAGTGTATGCAGCGGAGGCAGGACAGTATGTATGGATACGCTGCGGGAAAGCCCTTGTGGGCACAGAAGAACAATCTGGAAGAGTCTGGATGTGCGCGAGGGCCCTGGTAAGGGGCCCACGGAAGCTGTGTGTGTCTGTGCGGATGGAGAGCCTGCGGGTGGCATCTTCCTGACTCGGGCTGCCCCGTGGCCCGGCCGTCTGCGGTTCTTGCCTGCTCCCTCCCAGCTGGGGGCTGGGCCCCACCTACTCAGTGAAGGCAGCCGGGCAGGCGCCAGGGCAGGGCTCGGGGCACATACCGTGAAGATGTTGGAGCGCCGCTTGGACTGCTTGCGGACGGGTGTGGGGGTGGAGGAGGCCGCCACGGTCTCGATGCGCAGCTCCCGCTGGCTGACGCTGGGGGTGGAGGGGACTGAGGATGAGTAGTCGCTGAAGGCGCTGCTGCCGCCATTCGTGGCCTAAGGACAGAGAGGGCTGCTGAGGGCTGCTCTGGGGTGAGGGGCAGGCAGCAGGTGGGAGCTGGGAACCCCTGAGGCATGGGGACCTGGCCTGGGACTCACAGGGCAGCAGAGGCGGCCTGGAGGCCGGCGGGACGCAGTCACTACCGCACGGGGCTGCCCCCCGCCCGAGAGCCCCGGCAGGGGTGATTCTGTGCCCACCAGCGAGCTGAATCAGAGGCAGCGCTCGCGGGCCAGAGTTAAGTGACAGAGGTGAGAGTTAAGTGAGCGCACTGTGGGGTCTCATCTCAGGGGTGGGTCTGGCGCGAAGCAAGAGGTCACCTTGGATGAGCTCCCAGGTCCTATGCCAAAGAGGCAGGAGGCCAGGGTGGGGCTCAGGGGGGGGCCGGGGGAGCCTGAGGCCTGCTTCTGGACAGTGTGTGCGACAGGGGCAGGGGTCCGGGAGAGCCGAGGCCCGAGAGCAGACCAGAGCAAAGACTGCCACCAGAGTAAGCGGATGAGGGAAAGAGGTGGGACAGGAAGAGAGACAGAAGGGATCACAGGATGGAGACAGAGAGTGCACAGCAGTGACTGCCCTGGGACCCGGGAAACACGTACGGCCCAAGGCCTGCTCCCTGCCTGCCCGTAAGATGGTCACTGGGTAGAGAGGGTGTCCCGCCCTGACAGCCTCTTCGAATCCTCCCCTGCGCACAAAGAGCACAACGCTGGCCCTCGGCCGGCAGAGCCACCCGGCAGGGCCCGCGCGCAGAGCCGAGATGTACACGCCCTGAAATGTGCCAGCTGAGGCGCAGCGGTTCAGAGATAGTGAAGACAGACCTCTTCTCCGTGGGGGACGCTTTCAGGGAAACTAAACTGTCTGTCTTCTACACACTAAAGGAGGGGCCTCTGGAAAAAGCCACCAGACTGTCCTCAGGAAGCTGGTGGGCCGGGGCGGGCCCTCAAGACAACAGCCCTTGGCGGAAGGAGAGCGGAGGTTGTCCACCTGACCACTCGATCCGGCTCATCTGTGACGACCCAGGGCTTTCTGCAGAGCCGGCCATGGAGTCGGGGAAACGGTTACAAAAGGAAGGGCCAGACCCAAACGCCAAGGGCCAGAACACAACCAGGCGGTAGGCAGCGAGCGGGCAGGCATCCGAGGGGCATTACGGGAAAAGTACGGGCAGGACCCGGCTTGGAACACCCCTAACGCCCCTCATGGCACAAAGGCTGTTGGTCCCTGTGGGGCACGTGCTGTCCTTCCAAATGCAGGCCCCACAGGTGAGGGGCAAGCGGGCCTAAGAGAACTCTTCGCGCCTCCCGAGTGTGGCTCCGCGGGGCGTAGCTCCTGACACGGCTCTATCGGCACCGACCTGAGCGAGCGCTCAGGATGCTTCAGCTAAAGTGGCTGCAGGGATGGACGCTACGGGGAGGCGGTCACCACGGGGCACAGATGAGGCCAGGCCAGGCATGCAGGCAATGGGGGACTCAAGCCAGCGCTTCCACACGATCCGCAAGGCGCGAGAGCAGACGGGGTGGGGACACGCAGGCAGACAGACAGGATGATGAGGGCGGTGGGGAGGACACATGGCGGGAGGCGGGGAGGCTGGCCGCACCTGGTTGATGTGCACGGCCGGGATGGAGGCAGCGGACACTGCCGAGTGGCTGGGGGAGTTGGGCAGTGACTTGCAGGGCCCGATGGCCAGCTGCTGCTTCTTCCGCAAGGCCACGACTTTCTGGGCCACTGCAGGGGACAGCAGAGTCAGTTACCCCTCTGGGGGGAAAGGGAGAAGCCCGGCTTAGAGCCGTCCCCCGCCCCCACCGGGGCCCACGGCCCCCCGCCGGCCGCAGAGCCTCCTGCGCCGCGCTCCGGGGGGGGGGGGGGGGGGGGGGGGGGGGGTGCCATCCTGCCCCGCGCCCGAGTTACCGTCCTGGAAGACGCGCTCCACATTGAGCCCGTAGGTAGAGCACGTCTCGTAGTAGGTGCAGCGCTTCAAGTCCGTGGACAGCTTGCGGGCCCTGCTGTCGTCGATGACCCGGGGGTTTGCGGCACTGATGGCGTCTGTCGGAGGCGGGAGGGTGGGAATTTACTCAGCCGGCTGAGAAGCAGGTGCCACGGCCGGGGAGGGTCGTTGGGGCAGAGGGCGGGTGGGCGGGCAGCCGAGGCGGCGGGCGACACGGAGCACAAGCGTAAGGGCCTCCAGGCCTTAGACCAGCCCTGCCACCGACTCAGAGGAGAAATGAGCCAGCTGCTCTGTTCCCGCGTCTCAAAAGACACGGGCGCGATCGTCACGCAGGTGGGAGGGTCTAGCTGGGGGAGATCCAGCGTGCGCGCGCGTGGCAAGGAGGCGCTGCCCGTTCTGGGGTGACACCAGGGCTCAGGAAGCACCGAGAGGGGAGGGACCCGGGACCGCCCCTCCCCCGTGCCAGCCCCGCGGGCCCGCTCACCCTGCGTGCCCACCAACACCATGGGCACCTCGCTGGCATTGCGGAAGCTGCACAGCCGCAGGAAGTAGTTGTACACGGTCTGGAAGCTGATTTCATCCTCCAGGCTGAACACAAACACCACCGCATCCACCCAGGCAGCAAACTAGGGGGACGGAGCAGAATTAACACCCTCACCTGCTCACGGGCAACCTCCGCGCCCCTGTCCACACACACACAGCTTTGCCCAGCCCCAACCAGATCCTCGGGAAAGGGGCACCACGAGCCGGGGCTGGGGCAGGAGCGTCACCTGGAGCTCAGGGGGGCCTCCTTCATCTCGGATCAGCAGCAGGTAACTCTGGCCATCCACCACAATCTCCTTCTTAAACCGACCCCCTAGGACAGAGTGCACGGTCAGGCCCCAAACTGGGAGAGCCCACGGGGGCCAAGTGATTCTGAAATCCACAGCTAGCAACACAGGAGACGGGAGGACCTGGAAGGACAAGGGGCTCCAGCCCCCCCCCCCCCCTTTGCACAGACGACAGCAAAGAGAGGAAGGGGGCGGAGGGGCCAGCCTCAGAGCCCAGGCAAGCCAATGACGCTCACCTTCAGGGGACTCTTCCTGGACATACGTCCCTGTCAGATAGCGGTGCACCAGGGCCGACTTCCCACTAGACAGGTTCCCCACAATGCCCTGTGGGAGAGGAAGGGGTGAGAGCAGCGGTCAGAGGGAAGAGACGGGGCAGGAAAGGCAGATGACGTTAGGAAGGAGAGGGGCCGGAGCTAAGGGCCAGAAAGGAAAGGACCAGAAGCAAGGGGCCTCGGAGAGAGGCCAAGACCTGAAAAAGAAGGGCCTGGCATCGGGGGCGAGGGGGTGGGGTGCAGCAGAGCCTGGGCCCATTGCTCTACCCGTACCCACCCAGCCCCAGGGCGGCCTGGACCTCCCACAGGGCTCACTCACCACTTTAAGCTCCGGCACCGAGCGGCTCAGGGTCCACTCCTGGCTGTTCACAAAGGAGTCTGCAGAAGAGAAGGCCACCCATCAGGACCGAGGTGGCACACACCTGTGCTATCTGCAACCAGCTGTGTCCTACACTGCCCCTTCTTGGGCCAAGGCCAGAAAACAGCACGGTCCTGATGGGACCCCAACCCTCACCCCTGATTCCCTAGAGAGCGGCAGGAAAATTCTTCTGGAGGGGACCGGAAGAATGATAGTCCTCAGGGGAGAGGACCCCGAGAGGTGTGGGCCCAGGTCCCCCCGCCTGGGCCCGTGTGCCTCCTGATCTCTTACTGCTCCAGCAGGCAGTTCCCACCTTGAGCTGTCACACCCGGCCTGGTGCCACCAGGGCTCAGATGAGAGGCCTCTCCAATAGGTCTCAGCTCAGACCCAAGCTGGGCTGGGCGCCTGGCAGCTGGGCAGGGGGGCCAGCCTCCTGCGAGTAGGGACAGCTCACCCTCACAGGGTGGGGCCACCCACCACATTCCTAGGCAGGGTGAAGAGGGAGGAGCCCTTACCTGGCCTTGTTCTGTGAAGGGCAGGTTGAATGGGGAGCTATCTAGCCTGCCCAACTGGCCCTCCTCCCCAAGCTCCTCCTTAGTTGGGAGGCCACCACCCTTTCTTTCCCCAGGGACCCGCCTCCTGGGCTGCCTGGGCTCCAGTTCTCAGCTCTGGCCTGCCTCTGGCAGTGTCCGGGGAAGGGAAGCCTCCAGCTGCCCAGAGTCCCCCTCACCCCCACGGCCAGACCCGTGTTCTTTAAACTCTGCACTGTAACAGACATCCTCCAGCCAGCTCCAGGTGGCCCTGGCCTGGGCGGGCCTCTCTGCCTGCTTGCCCTCCCCAGGCTGTCTCAAAGAGTAGCCACCACGATCGATTGGGTCCACAAGTAGTCTCAGCTCATCTGCACAGGCAGCCGGGAGGGCTCAAGCCCCGCCCTGAAGCTAGAAACTCGTTCAGCCTCCGCTCCTCCTGGGCCTCAATTCTGCAGGTGCCAAAAGTGAGGAAGGGACCTCGTCTCCTACCATACCAGGCCACGGGCCAGAGGTAGCACCCGGCGGCGGGCGACCCCGACTGGACGCACCTGGAAGGCCTCCTCTGCCACGGCCACTTCCCCAGCCCATCAGCGACCCAGAGCCCAAAGGGGCGCCCATCTCACTTGGCCCCTGGCCCCGCACACCACACCCACCTCTCCCAGGCAGGTTCACGGTTTGTTCTCACCCCCGCTCTCAACAAGGGGCTCCAGCCAGAGAGGACTCCCAGGCCGGGCTCTCTCCCTTACCGCTGGGCGCGCCCAGGACCCCGGGGGCCGCGGCCGCCCGGCGGCTCCACAGCGGCTCGGCGGGCGCGGGCTCCCTCCGGCGGAAGCGGCTGGTGAGCAG